GAAGGAAGACTGGGCAATCTACTTCTGTAGAGATACTGCCTCGGAAACCCAAGGAGGTATCACTATGAGTCCAAATTGACTCAAGAAGACTCAGTGGGATCTAATTACATATAAAAGTTTTGGACTTCAAATTCCAGCACCAAATTCATCAAGTGAGATTACAACACTGAGAAGTTTTACCATGAAATATCCTTTGGCTTTTGATTTTTTTTTTTTTTTTAAGCTTTTTATTGACAGATAACTTACATAAAGGTAAACCAAAACCAAAAAACCCACTGCCATCGAGTTGATTGCAACCCATTGGGTTTCTGAGATGGTAAATTTTTATGGAAGTAGATTGCCCAGTCTTGTTTCTGCAGAGTGGCTGGTGAGTTTGAACCACCAACCTATTTACATGGATAGTCTTATAACTCTCACTGGAATAGCTATCTTTTTGCCTCTTTTTTTGGGGGGAGGGGGGTTGGTGTCTCAGGCAAAACTATAACAACAAGTAGCCCATTTAAATATCTTGTTTCACATTTTTTTTTTTTTGGTAATTTAAGATTAAATGGACTTATTTAAGATTAAATTGAAATGTTCTACAAAACAGAAATTACCTTTTCCTTTGATATTCTTTAACATTCACCAGTGACTATTATTGTCAATGGTAGGACTTACCCTTAGATCTTTCGGAATGTTATTTAAGCTTTAAGTGATATGCAGTGTGTCTTCATTCCTTTTTTTCCTGCAGATTGGCAATCCAGTTGTCCTATTTTGGCATGGTCCTCAACCTGCAGCACTGGGGAGGCAATATTTTCCTGTCCCAGGTTCTCTTTGGCGCTGTCAGCCTCCCAGCTAGATACGTTGTGCCTTTGACACTGAATTATATGGGTCGTCGAATAAACCAGTTATTGTTCATGTTCATGATGGGACTTTGCATTCTGGTCACCGTATTTGTGCCTCAAGGTGAGAGAGATAAGAGTTTGGGGAAAGGAAGTGGCTACTCCTCATTCCTTGGAGATGGTATTGATCTCACCTGCCTGGAGCAAAAATAGCATGGCATCTGCCATTGAAAGCCAAAGGATTCTCTGAAATCAATTATGGGCATTTGAAACCAATCCTGCCAAGAGGTTGTTAGTAGGACCTAGGCTTTTGCAGAGCCAAGGCCAGCAAGAGTTGGTTCAGACATAGGATGTTGTCATCACAACAAAGATGAACCTGGACATCAGTTCCCTTTATTCCTGACAGTTTCTCTTGAACAGTAATTGATCACTTGCTCTTTGGAGAATCATTTTTAATAACATTCATGGAGTGGCTACGCCTTACAATTGTGTCCCAAACTAGGCGTTGAACCCTCTCATTTCTTCTGTCTAGTATGTTTCCTTATTATTAAGCCCTCCTCTCGTCTCTGTGGGAGGAAGATGAGGCAATCTGCTTCTGGAAAGATTTACGGCTTTGGAAACCCAATGAGTCCTCTGTACCAGAGGGTCACTAGGCATCAGAATCAACTCAATGGCACTGGGGTTGTTTTGTGTCTAGTCCTTGCTCTACTCTCTGATCCCTACATGTTCACTTGTGAGTCTGTTATGAAGTCACCATGACTATAGCACTTGTTTCAGAGCATGTCTTTGACTTCAGGGAAGTAAGGTATTATTTTCAGGAGGTAGAAGAGTGACAGTAGGACAAGGAAATGAGAAAATTAAGAAGCTTATGTTGTTGTTGTTGTTAAGTGCTGTCAAGTCAGTTCTAACTCATAGTGACTAACACAGAATGAAATACTTTACATCTTGTATCCTCCTCACAATTGGTACCGAAGCCGTGACGAGTTCATCTCACTGAGGGTCTTCCTCTTTCTCACTGACCCTCTGTTGTAGCACGATGCCCTTCTCCAGGGACTGGACTGTCCTGATAACTTGTCCAAAGTGTGTGAGGTGAAGTCTCATCATCCTGGATTCTGAGCACCATTCTGGCTGGACTTCCAGCGTGGATTTGTTCTTCTTCTGCCAGTCTGTGGTACATTCAATGTCTTTGCCAAGAGGCACTGTTGTTGTTGTTGTTGTTGTTGTTTGCCATCGAGTCGGCCCCGACTCATAGCGACCCCTCCTTGGGTTTCCGAGGCAGTATCACTACGGAAGTAGGAATGCCCAACCTTCCTTCCGAGGAGTGGCTGGTGGGTTTGAACCGCCAGCCTTCTGGATAGCAGTCAAATGCCCTAGCCACTATGCTACCAGAGCTCCTAAGAGGCACTGTTAGGAGACTATTTTACTCAATTGATGGAATGATCATACATAATGATTAGGGGACTAGATTGGTCACTATGCTTTACCTGTCTCTCAGATCAGAGTATATTTTTAAAAGTCCCAAACTGGTGGACTCCACTCCTCATCCTGAATGTCATCAATAGTGTAAGTTTGCTACCAAAAAGCCCACTCCAATGTTATTAAACACTAATTATATTCTTTTTATTGGCCAGAAAGCTGCATATTTTTTGAAAGTTCTTTTTCTTTAGCTCTTTCTTCATAATTTTATCTATCTATCCATTTTTTTTTTAAATGTGCTTTAAGTGCAAGTTTACAGAGCAGAGTTTGTTTTATATTCAACCTTATGTGTACATTTAGTTTCACTCCCCATTTACCATCTCCAACCCTAACCCAGTCTCCTCCCCTCCCTGCCCAGAAACCCTCCCCCTGTGCCCCTCATAGTTCTGCACTCCTGTGTGGCCTGCCTTTCCTCCATGTGAATGTTGCCCCTCTGGTGCCCCATGGCCGATTGCTCCAAGGGATGCATCCCCATAGAGTATGTGGGTGCATCACCCTGGGTTGAGTGGTCTGTGTGTATATCTTGTTTACTATTTGGCTGAGAGCCAGCCCCTGGGAAGAAGCTTTATTCCAGACTCAGAATGTATCCCAGGGCCATAGTATTGGGTGTCTCACCAGACTCCATCCAACCAGTAATTCTGATCATTATTGTGTTTTTGGATTTTGTTCCATGTTTTTCCTCCCACTCTATCCAGGATCTCCAGATTTGATCCTTTCCTGAGTGGTTGGCATTGGTAGCCGGGCACCATCTAGTTCTTCTGATCTTGAGGGCCATTGTGTCCTAGGGCTGATTACTTCCAAATGCCCCTTGTTTTTTTGTACTCTTCTTCGCTTCCGATGATAGGGGACCATTAGCTGCATCTTAGATGGCCACTTGAAAGCTTTTAAGACCCCAGTTGCTACTCACCAATGTAGGATGAGGAACAAGGCTTTTATGTATTTTGATGTGCCAATTGAGTCAGGTGTCCCCCAGTACCATGGTCCTGAGACAGGAGATTCATTGGATCTCTCTCCCACAGTGTCTGGGTGTCTGTGAGGGATTGCTCTATGTCTGTCTTCTGTTGTTCCTGTAAGGATTGTGGGTATTTTGTATCACTGTTTTCTGTGCAAGATTAGCCTCAGCTGAATCTATCCTTGGTCTAGAGTATACTCCTGTTCACTAATCCCATCTGATCTTCTCAGATGTTTATATGTTTATCCAAAGCCTGGTGTTTGGTGTTAATGGTAATGCAGTATTGTGGATATACTGGTAGGTATTAGCATCTGTCATCTATATCTTATGTGCACAATTTGGTGTCCTCCCTTTTCCTAATGCTATCATGGTGATCACAGACTCTTTCCATATATCCCTCCCCTTACCTATGTCTGTGTGTGTGCCCCCAACTAGCCTGAAATTAGTCCCTCCCCTTCCTTCCCACCCCAGTAAACGACAAAGTGAGTTTCCTTTCTCAAGCAAACCCTTTGTCTTTTTACAGTAGTGGGCTCAGACAGTGTTTGGCCTTCTGCATTGACTTATTTTACTCAGCATAATGTCCTCCAGGCTCATCCACTTTGTGAGATGATTCGCATATCCTCCATTGTTCTTTAATATAGCATAGTGTTCCATTCTATGAAAGTACCATAATTTGATTATCCACTCATCCGCTGTGGGCATTTAGGTTGTTTCCATCTCTTTGCTATGGTGAATTGTGCTGCGATGAACTTAAGTGTGCATATGTCTGTTTGTGCACTGCCTCTCACCTCTTTAGGACATGTTCCTAGTAACGGAATTGCTGGGTCAAATGGTATTTCTATTTTCAGTTTTTTAAGGAAACACCATACCGTTTGCCACAATGGTTGTACCATTTTACCCATCACCAGTGCACAAGACTTCCAATCTCTCTGCAACCTCGCTAGCATTGTTATTTTCTGTCCTGTTGAATTTTGCTATTATTGCTGGGGTGAGATGATATTTCATTGTTGTTTTGATTTGCATCTCTCTAATGACTAAAGATCGTGAGCAATTCTTCATGTGTTTGTTGGCTGGCAGCATATTGTCTTTAGTGAAGTGTCTGTTCAAGTCTTTTGCCCATTTTTGAATTGGGTTCTTTGTCTTTTTGGTGTTGAGGTGTTGAAGTTTTCTATAGATTTTGGAGGTAAGTCCTTTGTTAGATATGTCATAGGCAAATATTTTCTCCCAATCTGTAGGTTCTCTTTTTACCCTTTTGAAGTCTTTCGATATGCATAAGAATTTAATTTTTAAAAGGTCCCAGTCATCTAGCTTCTCTTCTATCTCCTGTGCATTGTGGGTTATGTTTGATAGTCTATTAATGCAGTAAATAAGGGCTCCTAGATTTGCCCCTATTTTATCTTTGATGAATTTTATAGTTTTGGGTTTTACATTTAAGTCTTTGATCCATCTTGAGTTTATTTTTGTGTATGGGGTGAGGTATGGGTCTTATTTCATTTTTCTGCAAGTGGATATCCAGTTTTGCCAGCACCATTTGTTAAAGAGACTGTCTTTTCCCCATTTAATGGGTCTATTTCCAGACTTTAGATGCTGTTTCATTGGTCTATCTCTCTATCATTGTACCAATACCGTGCTGTTTTGAGTACTGTGGCTATATGGTACGTTTTAAGATGTGGGAGTGTGAGACCTCCCACTTTGTTCTTCTTCTTCAGAATTGCTCTGCTTATCTGAGTTCTCTTTCCTTTTTAGAAATTAGTAATTGGCTTTTCCATGTCCTTAAAAAATTTTGTTGGTATCTGGATTAGGATTGCATTAAATGGGTAGATTGCTTTAGGTAGTATTGATATTTTCACAATATTCAGTCTACCTATCCATGAACAAGGCAGGTTCTTCCCTTTATGTAGAGCCCTTGTTGTCTCTTGTACTAGTGTTTTATAATTTTCTTTGTATAGGTCTTTTGTGTCTCTGGTAAGGTTTATTCCTAGATATTTTATCTTTTAGTAACTATTGTAAATGGTATTATTTCCCTTATTTCTTTATCAGAGGACTCTTTGTTGGTATAGAGGAATCCAACTGATTTTTGTATGTTGACCTTGTATCTTGTTACTTTGCTGAACCTCTCTGTTAGTTCCAGTAGTTTTTTTTTTTTTTTTTTTTTTT